ATGATGGCCTAACCTCAAACCTACAATCTAGCCTAAAGGGTCAGTCCACGCCAAAGAGAGGTTTCAGTTCTAGGTGAGGCTTGGCAGACCGCTCATGGCTTTTTGGATACTATATCATCTCTTCCATTAATCCCTCCTGTTGGGTTCTCAAAAGAAAATCAAGACGGCAGTGTGGGATCCTCAAATGATGACCACAACGGGTGACCCAGAAATCTCCCCAATGGAGTCCCTGAAATATATAGGAATGAATATGGGTTTACTCCGCCATCATCTGCCGAAGACTAGAATATCAGTAGTAAGTGACCTGACCCTTCGGGCCATGTACTTTTGGGTTTCAGCATGTTTTAGGAGCAATGTTTACCTTGTTAAAGCTATCAATGGGTTCTGGGCAGCTTGTTGAAGCTTTTATAGCACTCTTCAGCTGTAGTTTCAGGTTGTTAAAGACTGATGACAATGGATGTGCTGGCTATCTTTTCAGAGGTTTCTAAAGTAGAACTGAAGGCAAACATTTGTTTTTTTAAATTTTAGATAGAGCAAAGGAGGGTTAAAACCTCTGTCAGGTTTTTTGGCCATCTGTGTCCCACTGGGGAGCTTTCCCTTCATTTCCTGGCCTATACCCAAAACAGCAAGTAAGAAGAAATCCCACCAAAGTGATGGAAATCCCTTGTAGGCACCAGAATTCTAGTGTCCCCTTTGGAAGATTTTCCCTTTATTCCTGTTCTGGTGACTCAAAATTTGGGATTTTCTTTCACTTTCGGGTGATAATGGTTACAAGGATAGGTTATATCTACCTTAAGCTGGCCATCCATTATACAATATTCTGTACAATTTCAATACAATCTCCTTTAGATTTACCTTCAACTACAGGCAGTCCCCGGGTTACAAACAAGATAGGTTCTGTAGGTTTGTTCTTACAGTGGAAGCAAAGTCCACTTTAGAACTTATACCTACAGGTAAGGCTATAATAAGGCTTACCTATATGTACAGGGAACATCTTCTACATTTGCACTGTTTAGGAGATATTCACATAACATGCAGCCGGTGACATCACTGACGCATGCGCTCTGAAGGTACAGCACACTGTGTCGGATCTTCAGAGCTCCATGCCGTAGCCGAGGGCTTCAGTGCGCATGCGCGGGAGTGAAGTTATCATGGCCTTGGCCATTCATACGGCCAGAGCCCACAAACCTGGAATGAATTGCTGGTGAAGATGGCAGCCCCAGGGAGCAGTGACAGTTCTGTTCTGGACGGCTCTGTGTGAAAGTAAGTCTGCCATAATGTTGTAGTATGCAGTGTATACAGGGGCGGAACTGACCATTTGGAAACTCGGGCACTGCCTGAGGGCCTGGGGTCAGTAGGGGGCCCCATGAGATGCCCCTGGTACCTTATTCATAGGCTTTTTTGAGTTTGGGCAAGGACACAGGGGCCCCATGATCCCCTATTGAGGGCCGGGGGTCAGTAGGGGGCCCCATGAGACGCCCCTGGTACCTTATACATAGGCTTTTTTGAGTTTGGGCAAGGACACAGGGGCCCCATGATCCCCTATTGCCCGGGGGCCCCATGAGTTGTCAGTCCGCCCCTGGGTGTATACTAGTACATTATGACCTAAACCTGCCGGGGACCGTTGTTTTGTTTTTTTTCTTGCGGTTTCCTACTGCTTAAGTTTTTGTATGTAAGTTGGAAGAGGTAATTTTTTTAAGTGTAACTCCAGGCAATTTTTAGTTTTGGATAGCATAGGGAAGGGTTAACTGGCCATGCAGTGATGTTGGATTGCTGACAGGTCCAGTAGGAGGCAGCATGCGGTGAGCCAAGATGGCTGTCCGGTGGGGGACCAGCATGACGTCAGCTCTGTGTCTTAAGCACAAGTCATATGTAAGTTGGATGTTTGTAACTCAGGGACTGCCTGTATGTAAAGCAACAACAAAAAAATTCCCAACTCAGCTTACCAACCAGCCTGCAACCAACCAAATTGTCTTGTCTAACAGTTCATGTTAATAACAGGGATTTAGTTTGCACACATTTGCAAATACACATGTTTAGCTGCAGAGCCTTTCATGGCACCCCAGTATTTTCTGCAGTCCTAACTCTATACATTTTGAGAGGCTCTGCAGTTTATGCATGCATTTGCAAATACGTGCAAACTAAACCCGTTATTATTGTGAACTGTTAACAGGACAATTTGGTTGGTTGCAGGTTTTGGTTGGTATGCTGAGCTAGGGAATTTTTCTTTGTTGTTGGTTGACATGCATTACCCTTCCATGTGCTCCTTGCTGCAAAGGCCCGGTATAGATTAGGGTAGTTGCATTTGTTTGTGCTGCCTGTATGTAGTTCAAGGACCAGTCTTATTGGATATAAATTGAATGTGTTATTTCATATTATGGCTGTTTCTGGTAAAAATTGTACGGGCAGCCTTACAGGGACACAGACAGCAATAAAAACTTGACAGATGTTCTAATCCTTGTTCCACTATCTAAAATAAGCAAAAAAAAGTGTTGCCTTCAGGTTGTAGTGCTGAAGCTGCTTGTGAAAGTATAACTAAACCCAAAACAAAAAAAGTGATATGTTTAAAAATGTATAAGAAATAAAGTATGTGTTGTACTCACAAACGACAATAAAGTCAGGCACGTCATAAAGAACAAATTCAACACCGCGCTGAGTCTAACAGTCCACAATGGGCAGTGTAGACATCCAATAGGCATCCAATAGGCTGACGCGTTTCGAGGACTTGCCTCTTCCTCAGAGCCACTCTGGAAGAGGCAAGTCCTGTCAGCCTGTTAGATGTCACACTTCCCTGCGGACTGTTACTCAGCGCGGTGTTGACCCAGCTATTTTCTTTATGACTTTATTGTCGTTTGTGAGTACAACACATACTTTATTTCTTATTAAACATTTTTTATGGTAATGCACTAGGCCTGTGCGCCTTCTATTTGCTCTTTCCTCATTCAGTATATTTGGATTCTCCCGGTCCATTTGAGGACAGAAAGGTGTGCATGTTCCAGGACATTCTTAATGTGGTTGTAGTCCATCCCCAAGCGCAGGAGCATTTGTGTTTGCTGGTTCTTTAAAAAAAGTGATATATTGCGGCTTTCCTTAGATGAGGTGGATGCATTTGTTTTCTTTTTTCAGGCTCTTTTCCCTGTATTTTCACCTGGTATGTGTTGGTGCAGCACTAGACTCCATGGTAGACTGAAGACAAAAGTCAATCAAATTTCTAGACACCTCTCTTTGGTAGCCCAAAGGGTCCCTGGAGCTGTCTATAGAACATTAAAAGAATGAGAGCTCCACGAAGTTTGAGTAAGTTCAGTGAGAATTTTGTTTTACATCACAAAGTTGAAAATCCAACGTGTTCCAGGAGTTTATGTTCTGGGGGACATCAGCCTTTGCTCTCAGGAAGGGGACAGGGTCCTCGAAATGCGTCAGGGTTCACACCATCTTGTCTTCAGTTGGAGGTGGACCGCGGTCCCCATTGTATGTTAATGCAAACACATGCCAACTGCCTCCTTGGTTTGTGAGTAATGCCTTTGTCCTATATTTTCAATAAATGGTTTTGCGGTAATGCAACAGGCGTTTGCGCGCTCTTTGTTTTCATATTTTTGGGCAGTGTTGGATTTCCTCAGTCTGAGGAGGGCTGCACCGCCATTTCTTTCCAGTCCTGATTGTGGAAAGTCCATGGGATCACACCTAGAGTCATGGTATCCATTTCTGGGTGCCAAGTGTCAAGTTGGACAATCTTTTTACTTGCCTATTGGATATGGTGCCTAGAGAGCCGGGCCATAGGAACCACCGAGAGTCGGATGCGACTGAACGGATAACGCACACATCCTAGGTTATCTTCTACTTGCAGCAGCACAGTGATGGCGTGCAAAAACTTTTTGTCTTTTTTGTTTGCCGAGTTTAAGACTTGAAGACTGAGATAAGAGAAACCACAGATTTAGAACTGATGTTGTGTTTACATGCTGACTTCTTGCTGATAAGCTGCTCTCCGCTGATTGGACGCTGACTCTGCTTTTAACTCTTTTTCAACATTTGAGGCAGGAAAGTTTATTTACACCCCGGTCACATCAAACTCGACCTTGAGATCGTGCGACTAACAGAGAAGTCGCACAATTTCAAAGTCAGGTGACTTGCAGATTTGAGGTGCGATTTACAAGACATCTAACACATATGTCTGTGCAAATCACACCAAAAATAGTGCATGGACCACTTTACAAATCGGTGCGGCTCCGACCAAGTCTGATCCGCACTGATATGACTGCTCTTATTGAGGACAATAGGGTGCGACTTGGCATGCGCAAGTCGCATGGCAAGCAAATCGCATGCCAATTCTCATCCAGTGTGACCGGGGACTTAGGCTCCATGCACACTAGTGTTTTTTTCTGCTCCTAGAAGCTGCTATCAGCATTTTTTTCTGCTCCTAGAAGCTAAATGATGCTATTCAAATGTACCCCAAATGTACACTGTCTGCGTTAAGGACATGCATTTGCATGCGCATCCCATGCGTGGGAAGATGGATAGGTACACCTGTGTGAATCAGGCCTTAGATGTTCTTGCTTTTAGCTATATTTACACCCGTTTGCATGCACTTAGATGTGTTTAAAGTGTCTGATCAGATCCTAGAATTCTGTTTCTCATAGGGCTGGTTCACACCACAATTTCCGCATTACAGATATGTTTCTGCATGCGCATTTCTGATGCGTTCCAGTGTGTGTTTTTTTCCCTCTTTTTTTTCTTCATCTCAGTTTAGGACAATTGAGGACATGTGCATTCTGGTGCATTTTTTATGCTTTTTTTGTGCTGTGTTCCATGAAGAAAAAAATGCAGCATGTTCTATTTTTGTTGCCTGCACTGTAACGCAATGCACTGGTGTGAACTAGGGCCTTTGGAATCCATGTTAAACACTGTCCATGCATTTTTGATGCATAATTAAGATGCATCTGGTGTGACTCAGCTAAACTGACAGCCACCGTACACAGGTACACCCAGGGGTGGACTGACAACTCATGGGGCCCCCGGGCAATAGGGGATCATGGGGCCCCTGTGTCCTTGCCGAAACTCAAAAAAGCCTATGTACAAGGTACCAGGGGCATCTCTTGGGGCCCCCTACTGACCCCGGGCCCTCAATAGGGGATCATGGGGCCCCTGTGTCCTTGCCCAAACTCAAAAAAGCCTATGAAAAAGGTACCAGGGGCATCTCATGGGGTCCCCTACTGACCCCGGGCCCTCAATAGGCGATCATGGGGCCCCTGTGTCCTTGCCCAAAATAAAAAAAAAATATGAAAAAGGTACCAGGGGCATCTCATGGGGCCCCCTACTGACCCCGGGCCCTCGGGCAGTGCCCGAGTTTCCAAATGGTCAGTCCGCCCCTGGGTATACCAATGTCATTACATGGAAAATATCCCAGGGCCCATTCACACCCAGAAACTGTGCATTTGTGCATTTTTAATAAGCTTGCATTTCCTTTGAGAACACTTCCTTCTTCTTCCTTCTTTGGTGTTTTATGTGTAGTGCATTGTCATGCATTTGCATACATTTTGCGAGCGTTGCGAGGAAAATGCAGCTTGCTGTACTTTTTTTTTGCTGCACTGCTCTGCCATAATGTGAACTATACCCATAAGATAACCTGGATTTTGGACTGTCTATGCAGTTGAAGTGCAGTCAAACGTTCATCCCACTGCATTCCACTGTATCTGGTGTGAATGGGCCCAAAATGCGTATTAATGCAGGTTTGACAGTACCAGTGGGAATGAGGCCTCGGGTCCTGGCATATAGGGCATCAAGCCCCTTTGCGTGCAATCTCAGCATTTTAGTGCGCTAGTCCAGCTCTACTGCCTACAGCCTATCAAAGTCTATGGGAGGCTGAAATATGCTGCGGCTGGATGGGGCTGAACTCTTTAATGAGTGGCAATCACATTTAGGGTCCTATGTTTTCAGGGATGCATGCTGGGAATCCAGGTATTTTTATTTGGACCGCCTAAAGTGCCAAGTAAGGATGAATAGACTAGAAATAAAACATTATTCCAGTGACCTGTAAGAAAATACGGTAGACGGCTTTATATGCAATAAACTACAAGTCAATGTAGAGAAGAATGATAATAAGAATAGAAATGATCAAAAATAATTATTACAAAAGATAATTATTTCAAAATGAATCAAAGAATAATTATAAAAAAAATTATAATTAAAATTTGTGCTAATGAATAAAAGGAAATTGTGTTGCTGTGGGTCACCTGACTTTCCACATTATTTATTTATTACAGGTACTTTTATAGCGCCATCAATGTACGCAGCGCTTTACATATATATTGTACATATACATCAGTCCCTAACCCTCAAGGAGCGCGCACATCGTCTTCGCTCTTTTATCGTCTTAGTGAACAGGATGACTATTTGGTACTTTTTTGAGGGTATTTGTAGACATTTGTCTTCTGTCTTAGTCTAGGTTTGCACCTATGCATTTTCCGCTGCGTTTTGCAGAAACACACTGCAGTTCATTTAACATGATTTCCTATGGGACAGGTTCACATCGCTGCGTTTTTACATGGTGCATTTTTTTGGAGAGGGTCAGAGACTTTTCTAAACTCAAACTGGTTCTATAGTTTTTAATGGAGACCCTGCAGAAAAGTATGTAGTGTGGTTTTTATGCTTTTTTTGACTTGTTTTTTATGCATTTTGCGTTTTATTCTGCCCAGCAACAAGTTGGAAAAAAAAAAAAAGCAAAATGCATAAAAAACGCGTGCATGTGCAAAACACACTGCAAAAAGCAGTGCAGAAATGGATCAAATGGAAACTGCCCAGGTGTGAACGTAGCCTAAGGGCCAGTTCACACTACATGCGTTTCAGCTGATTTTTTTCTGCATCCAGAATGCACAGAAAGTAGGTTATATGGTTGTCAGTGTCATAGTTCACATCAGTGCTTGCGCTTCCAGTGCATTCCGGATGCAGAATAAAAAATGGAACAGGCTGCATTTTACCTGCACAGAACTGTACTGGAATGCGGTAAAACACATAAGAAACGCACCAAAACGTGCTGGTACTTACATATCCCTATTTAAATTGAAGAAAAAGAGGAAAAATTGAGCTGGATTGCATAAAACATGCACTAGAACGCGTAAAAAACGCACTGGAATGTGACAAAAACGCACATGCAGAAACACATCTGGAATGCATCCAGTCTGTGATGATATAAAGTAACTGTAAATAGTGAAGCGCTATAAATCCTATTAAATACAGCTAAATATTATATATTACTAGCCGTGCACACACAACAGTGCTCAGTGACAAATAATTACAAACAAATAAATATCTCTTTCCACAAGTATAAGTGAAACATGACCTTGAATATGTGACAAACTACAGATAATTGTGCAGTGATTCTTTAACCACTTGCCCTCCTGAGGATTTACCCCCCTTCCTGACGAGGCCTCTTTTTGCTACTCGGCGCTGCACTAATTCAACTGATAATTGCGCGGTCATGCGACGCTGCACCCAAACGAAATTTACGTCCTTTTTTTCCCACAAATAGAGCTTTCTTTCGGTGGTATTTGATCACCTGTGAGCTTTTTATTTTTCACGCTATAAACAAAAAAAATGCCAAAAATTTTGAAGAAAAACAATATTTTTTACTTTCAGCTATAAAAAATATATAGTAAACTCAAAGTTGGTTATAAATTTAGGCCAAAATGTATTCTGCTACATGTTTTTGGTAAAAAAAATCCCAATAAGTGTATATTGATTGCTTTGTGTGAAAGTTATAGCGTCTACAAACTATGGTATAAATACTGCAATTTACGCCACTTTTTTGCTATACAGCGCTGCGCTAGTTTAACGGACAATTGCGCGGTCATGCAATACGGTACATAAATGAAATTTACATCCTTTTTTTCCCACAAATAGAGCTACCTTTCGGTGGTATTTGATCGCCTGTGCGGTTTTTTTTATTTTTTGCGCTATAAAAAAAAAGGCTGACAATTTTGCTATAAAACATGTCCAGTAAAAAAAAAATTTAAAAATCAAATTTAGTCATAAATTTCTGCCAAAATGCATTCTGCGACGTCTTTGCTAAAAAAAAAAACCCCAATATGTGTAAATTAATTGGTTTACGTGAAAGTTATAGCGTTTACAAATGGCGGGAAAGATACTGGGATTTTTAATTTTTTTTATACTAATAATGGCGGTGATCAGCGTCTTATGGCGGCGATCAGTGACTTATGGCGGCGATCAGCGACTTATGGCGGGACTGCGGGACTGTGGCGGACATTCTGACATTGGGGGGTACTGACTTGGGGTCACTGACATCCCCAGTGACACCAATACAGTGATCAGTGCAAAAACAAAAACACTGACACTGTACTAATGGCACTGGGGAGGAAGGGGTTAAGTTTATTTTGCAGGGAAGGGTTATCTGTGTGAGGGGAGTGTTTTACTAGGGGGCGGGGGTGTGTACTGCAGGGGACACCACTGATCGGGAGAGAGAAACTCTTCTGTCCCGATCAGCTTGTCCTGGAGCTGTCAGGGAACTGACAGAAAGCACAGCTACTGTCAGCGATCGCCGGGACATAGCCAGTAACGACCGTCTGTGACCTGGCGACTGACATCCGCGGCTGTGATCGGCGGGACAGGTAGGGAGGCAGCGCGCCTCGCGTGCGCCTCCTACCTGTTTACAAAACACACATTTTAAAACGTGGTTTTGCCTGCCCGTGCCGCCCTGCCGCCGTATTTCTACAGTGGCTGGGCGGCATGTGGTTAAGAAGACAAAATTCCTGTGCTATTTATCAATATCTCTAAACACACTGTGTATATACAAAGGTCAAACCAATCAAATTATATATGTGTTTATTGAGAACATAAAGTCCATGCAAGTGAATCTGTGCTGATGTGATCTTCACTCCAGTGAAAAATGAACACAAATCCTCAAATGGCAGAAATGCCTTTTCACCTCCACACATCGACCCGCGCAGGGCCACAGAGCTATAATAAACAGTAACAGATCCTCTCCACTCCACTCCTCATCACAGGGACCATGGGATAGGAAAAGGACCTCTGCCCAACGCACCTTATTCACTCCTCCTGCACTCAAGGTAACATGTATAGGGTATAAAGCAAGAAACCTTCCATGGTGCAGTATCTTTTTATTTAAATTGCAGATAAAAGTTGGTAAAGCACTCACATGTATCCCCAGTAACAATCGCCTTTCACCACATACTATGGGTGTACTGAATGGTATACTGGGTGTAGCAAGATGGCCGCTGCCGGAAGTGCGTCACCACGTACCAGAAATGACGTACCGACGCGTTGCGTCACGTGACTCGTGACTTCATTAGCGCTTCACTGTTTACAGTTACTTTATATCATCACTTATTGGTTTTAAGTTAAGTGTCAGCAGCTATAGTTAGGTTTGCGACTTCCGCATTAAGCGCAGGAGGATACTTACTGTTAATGCATCCAGTCTGCATTTCCATAGTGTAAACCGACCCTTAAAGTGGAACTCCAGGCAAACAGCTAAGTACGCAGATGACATACTTCTATGGGAGGTATTTTACCTAGCAAAGTGTTTGCATTTCTGTCCATCCAGTCCTGAGATTTACCCAGCTCTGCAAGACACATCTCAGCCCCGTCTGGAAGTACTGGGGACCTGATCTGCTGCACTTCAATGACACTTACAGGTCTTCTCCTTCTCCCAGCCTCTGATTGGAGAATAACCGGAGAAGCAGCAGAATGGAGCTTGGTTCTCTGGTGTTCCTCTCTCCTTCTATTAGCATAGTGATGATTGGTGGCAGTTGGTTTCTTTTGGCTGCTTCTCCCTCTCCCAGTCTTTGCTCTGCTGTACAGGGACTGCAAGAGGCTGATACGAAGTCAAACTCAGGTACTTCAACTGCTTGTGTTAAAAAAAAAAAAAACCGTAATGATGTGTTAATGAATGCAGAGCTGAATTAATTTGTGTTTTTTATTGGCCTTCAGTTTAGCTTTAAGGGCCGGTTCACACTATAGAAATGCAGTCCAGATGTGTTCCGGATGCGTTCCCGTATCCTCTTTTTTGACTCATTTTTTACGTGTTCCAGTGCATTTTTGATGCGTTTTTTACATGTCCCAGTGCGTTTTTGATGCGTTTTTTACATGTCCCGGTGCGTTTTTGATGCAGTCCAGTTAATTTTTTGCCCTCTCTTTTTCTTCAATTTAAATAGGGACATGTGCGTTCCAGTGCGTTTTCCCATGTTCCAGTACAGTTCTGTGCAGAAAAAAAGCAGCCTGTTCTACTTTTTTTTCTGCAACTGGAACACACTGGAAGCTCAAGCATTCATGTGAACTGACAGCCATATAACCTACTTTCTGTGCGTTTTGGATGCAGGAAAAAAAGCAACTGAAACGCATGTAGTGTGAACTGGCCCAAAAGCTGAACTCCACACCCAAGTCAAAGTTAGAGCTTGTTTACACTAGCAGGGCCCTCTGAAAAGTGATCTGTAGTGGATAGCTTTTCAGAGAACATTTGACAGGTGGTGAGGTGTTTTGTTTCCTCCTCACGCCTGCTTTAACCCCTAAAAACCTGCACCACTACATGGAAACTACATGCATTGCATGTGGCTGGGGGGTGGGCATGTCTCCATTTACCCATATTGAAATAAAATATATTTTAAAAATACTCTTTCCAAAAAATATTGAAACATATTTGAAATGCTACAATTTTGGCCATATTCAATATATATATATTGCATGTTGAAATGTGTTTTTTATATATTAGAAAATATCTGAGAAATATTTTTAAAAATAAATATTTTTTACATATATTCTTCAGTTTTTTTTTAACATATAAAAAAGTCATTTTACCATATATTCGTACACATATTTGAAAGGCTACAATTGTGGCCATATTCAATATATTTTTCTGATATCTGAAGAATATATTTAAAAAATGTCTATTTTTAAAAATATTTCTCATATATATTTTCTAATATATAAAAAACACATTTCAACATGCAATATATATATATATATATATATATTGAAATATATTGAATATGGCCAAAATTGTAGCATTTCAAATATATGTCAATAGTTTTGGGAAGAATATTTTTAAAATACATGTCAAATATATTTTTCTTCCATGTGGGTAGGGGGGATAATTTTTACCATGCTGTAATGAAAAATATATGTACACCCCCATCTGCTGCCTTTTCATCTTCATGGAGGATAGTTGGGGGAGGGGGGTTTGGGGTGGGGAGTTAAAAACGCAGCCCAAATGCATTTTTTTTTACCGCTCCCCAACCGCAAATGTAAACCTAGCCTAATTTTTGTAGCGGGGCCCCCTCTGAACTGCAAGGGTTACATTTTTTTTTTTTTGTCTAAGGGGGCAGAAATAAGGTGAAAGCCGTACCTTATACCTCACTCCTGCAGGCTTCCTCCTCTTCATAAGGCCGGTCCCCAACCTGTCGCAGTTCCCTAATGTCATCACAAACAATGACGTTGGGTAGCGAGGGAAAAGGTAAGTCATTCACCGTATTCATCATCTCCTAGACAAAAGGCGTATTTAACCCCCGCAGCGTTTTCTTGTGTTGACCGTTTTGCACACGTGCGCACAGTGACAGGATCATTAGCATTTCATGTGACATTATTAGCGTTTATTTTGAAATGTGTCTTTCTTGTGTTCCTGGATCTATCCCCTGAAGACTGATAGGCCAGATGTGGAGACGGCTATATTTAGCTGCCTTGTTGTATTTCCCATAGTGGTGTGGACTTGATGTATGTGAAGGCTGCCTATGTAATGTGATCTGTAGGGAACACGGACCTTCATGCCTCTTGTAGTGTATGTACCATTCAGCACACAATCGCAGTGGTTTCATGTTCTGCTGGTTTTTCTTTCCTTGCATTACATTGTAATTTTCCATTCGATGCATAGTGGAGGTACTCCCATCTGTCATTCTTTACAAATGATGGTTACAGGCAAATTCCAGGTAAGCATGAGGATTTCACATGGAAGGTGTACCTGTCACCTGGTGCTGCCTATTTCAAGAACTGCAGCCTTGTACAGCTGGAATGGTGATGTACCTGTGCCGTGATACTCGTGGCCCTCTCCATGTTCCTGCAGGGCCCCTATGAATGCTCATGAAGCTGAAGAACAGTCAGGCCCAGGGGCAGACTGACAACTCATGGGGCCCCTGGGCAATAGGGGATCATGGGGCCCCTGTGTGCTTGCCCACACTCAAAGCACACTCAAAAAAGCCTATAAAAGGTACCAGTGGCATTTCATGGGGCCCCCTACTGACCCCGGGCCCTCAGGCAGTGCCCTAGAGCTCAAATGGTCAGTCTGCCCCTGGTCAGGCCCCATGCATTTTGATAACGCTGGTAACATTAGCTGTATAAAGTCACATTAAAAACATGAGTTTTCAGCTTTTTTAGCGTGTTTGCATTGGCGTTTAGCGACGTTTTCCCACGTTTTTTCCACGTTTGCATTTTTTAGCGTTTTTACCAAAAAAATTTTTTTTGTGGTCCAAAAAATCCAAAAACGCCAGATTGCGGAGTTTTGCTGCATTTTACCGCATTTTGTTGCGTTTTTCAGCATTAGGATGTTTTTGCAGCTAAAAAACTCCTAGAAGCCCTCTAGTCCTGGGTTTTCTTCCCAGCCAAAAAACGTCCCAGCCAAAAAACGTTGATTACAGTCTGTGTGTGTATGGACACATAGGATAACATGCTGGGGGGTTTACTGGCTGTAGAAAAAACCGTCAAAAGCCAAAAACAGCCGCTGTAAAAACGTCCCGTGTGCAGGAGGACTTAGGCTTGGTTCACACTTTTTGTCCGATTTGTAGCGCTTTTTGCAGTGCATTTTTGAATTAGCGTGTAGCTGCGTTTTGCCGCGTTTATCGCCGTTTTCCCATGTTTTTTCCGTATTTGCATTTTTTAGCATTTTTATCAAAAAATATATTTTGTGGTCAAAAAAGTCCAAAAATGTTGGTTTGCAGCGTTTTACTGCATTTTACCATGTTTTGCCGTATTTTTCAGCGTTAGAGCTTTTTTACAGCTAAAAAACTCCTCTAGAAACCCACTAGTCCTGTTTTTTTTTTCCAGCCAAAAAACGTTGATTCCAGTCTCTGTGTGCATGGACACATAGGACAACATGTGGGGGGGAGTTTACTGGCTGTAGAAAAAAGCGTCAAGTGTGCATGAGGACTTAGGCTTGGTTCACACCAATGCATTGCGCTTTTTGTCCATTTTGCAGTGCATTTTTGCATTAGCGTGTATCAGCATTTTGCCGTGTTTAGCGACGTTTTCCCACATTTTTTCGTGTTTTGTTTTTTTTACCCAAAAAATTGTTTTTTTAAAAAAGGAAAAGTCCAAAAATGCTGGTTTTACAGCATTTTACCGCGTTTTTCAGCATTAGAACGTTTTTACAGCTAAAAAAACTCCTCTGGATACCCACTAGTTCTGGGTTTTTTTACAGCCAAAAAAACTCCCCTGCCAAAAAATGTTGATTCCAGTCTATGTGTGAATGGACACATAGGATAACATGCTGGGGGGTTTACTAGCTGTAAAAAAAACATCACAAGCCAAAAACAGCTGCTGTAAAAACGTCCCGTGTGCATGAGGACTTAGGCTTGGTTCACACCAATGCATTGCGCTTTTTGTCCGTTTTGCAGTGCATTTTTGTATGTGCGTTTTGCATTTTTTTTCTTTTTGTTAAAGGGCAGAATGAAAGCGCGAAATGCGGTAAAAACACACTACATGCGTTTCAGCAGCTTCTCCATTGAACTCTATCGTAGCAAGAAAATGCTGCTTTTTCCGCTTATAAAATCCCTGACCCTTTCCAAAAACACAGTCACTCAAAAAAGCATAGATGTGAACATGTCCCATAGGAAACCATGTTAAATGGACTGTAGTGCGTTTCTGCAAAAATGAAAAAGCACAAAAAAATGCATTGGTGTGAACCAGGCCCTACTCTATGAAATTGTATTGTAATCGTATTGTCTGCCCTTCTGTTGTAAAGCGCTGTGTAAACTGTTGGTGCCATATAAATCCTGTATAATAATAATAGGCTGACCGTACATTATACAATTTTCCAGATTTACCAAAATCATATAAGGCTTCATGTACACGAGCCGACCCTGACCTCCAGCTGCTGGAAAAACATAGTACCGCATTTGCTGCGTTTTACCGCAGTTTTGTGTTTTCCTGCAGTCGGTGGTCAAAACATTCCTATCCTGAACGTGATTCTTCCGCGTTCAGGAGAGGGGGAGGTTTAACGTCACCTAAATGCGGCAGCTCCTAAGCTCTGCTAAATGCCTATCTGTACATGGACACAGGCTTGTATGGAGTTGAGTTTAGGAGCTTTGGCAAAAAAATGCCAAAAGCTCCTAAACTCGAGTTTAGGAGATGCTTGTGTACATGAAGCATTAGGTGTTCAGGTTAGGAACGCTTTGACCACTGAAAGCGGTAAAATGCAAAACACTGTAAAACCACAGGAAAACGTGGTAACCGTGGTACCGCGTTTTTGCCATGATTTGCGTTTTTTCTTGGCTGGTGGTCAGGGTAGGCTCGTGTACATGAGGACAAACCTAAACACTTTCAATTTGTATGCACTCAGGCAGGCCTTTGCACTACATAGGTCAGGGGTGTCAAACTCAATTTCATGGCGGGCTGCATCAGCATTATGGTTGCCCTCAAAGGGCCGGTTTTATTTGTAAGATTAGATGTCCAGAGCACCCCACTCCCCATTACATCACAGTGCACCCCCCCTTACCTTGTGCTGCTGCCAGGAAAAAGCTGTAGGCAGAGCTGGGAAGCAGAAAGTGCAGGATCTGGAGGAGGACCAAAGGAGGCGGGGAGTCAGCTGCCAGAGTCTGCTGAATGCTCAGACTAGGGGAGGCAGAGACAGGTGGGTGCTGCGGCTGCACAGAGAGGCACAGGGTCTGTTGGAAGAGTTCTGTCCTTTTCTATTCTGATGACTGATGAGACAAGGGTGGGCAAAGACAAGCCTCTCCACACCTGCACAGAGAATCGCAGGATCTGGCGCAGAAGCTTTTTATATCCTCTCTGCTGCCAACTGCTGAGACCAAGGGTGGGGAGTTGCAGAAATGAGCCTCTTTGTGGCTGCATGGAAAAGGGCAGGATCTGGTGGAAGAGATCTGTCTTCCTCTCTTCTGTTGACTGCTGAGACAAGGTGGGGACGAGGGAGTGCCACAGCTACAGGAGAGGTCTGAGGGCCACATGAAATGGCCTGGAGGGCCGGATTTGGCCCCCGGGCCTTGTGTTTGACACCTGTGACATTGGGGAATGTAAATCTAAAGGAAGTTGAATAAGAACATCGTCTAATGTATGGCCAGCCTTACAGAAGGCTAAAAAGAGAATGCCCAGGTTGGGGTGCTTCCTGAGATCACCTAAATGTCTGGAATCATGTCATCATCTGAACATATTTGGGACATCTTCTGCTATTTGCTAGGTAGGGCTCCAGTTATGTTTTTAGAAGGCATTTTGGACCATGTGCGTCATATTGTGGCATTATTGGGCACCCAGGACAGGCGGCCCAGGTACAGCTCCAAGCAGCCTGTCAGAATCTATAGCAAGCTGAAATATGTGGTGGCTGGACACAGTACAGAGCAATACTGTGTGTTCAGGGATGTACGCCCTAAGAATGAGTACTGCTCAGTACAGCGTCTAGCTGCAGCGTATTTCAGTCTGTCACAGGCTTCTTTTAGACAGGTAGTAAGCTTACTACCCTTTGAAAAGCGATCTGCAGTGAATCACTTTTCAGAGGGCAGCAAAGCAGAAGCTGACTGGCGTTTAAGAGGTGCTACTGCCACCCCCTGGTGCCTTTTTTTTAATTGTTTTTTGCTGAACAGCAATTTTACATTGTGGGACCACAACGCAACTGCCAGGCAAGCGTTTAGCTTGCGGTCACAGCGCAGCCTCATTGATCTGAGGGGACATGTTTGACAGGCATACAGGCCTTTCAGGCTGTAATTGTAAGATTCAGGTGGGTGGCCAGAGTGGGTGGGGTGTTTAACCGAGGTTCAGCAGCCTGTTTTTTTCCTTCCCCTGGTCGTCTGTGTGAAAGAGCCCATAGATTTGACAGGCTGCAGACAGCAGGAATGGAAGCAACACCTGCGCCTCCCGGGTTCTGAGATTTGACTCATGTGGGCCGAACCACCCGTGTGCCCGAAGCCTGTGGCTGGACGCAAATTCGCTGCACAACTCCCCAACTAATCGCTGGGTTAGGATTAAAAAACAAAATGTTCTTATGGCCAAAATACTCGATGAAATCTGTGACACAAGCCTTCTAGAGATATGCCCAGGAGTGAGATACCTGCTAAGACTGGCTGCTCTGGATTCTTGTGAGGACTCTCATTGACACAACGCTCTATGATATCAATGTGCGGCAGTATAGGTAACCTAGGATGTAGTGTTACATAATGCCCTTGATTGCCGGCTGTCATTTGCCCGTCCTCGCCGTTTTTTTTTTTATTCTTGTCTCCAAATATCACCCAAACCGTACTCTTTGCTCCTCGCACGACCTCCTGCTCTCTAGCTCCCTTGTCTCCTCCTCCCATGCTTGTCCCCAGGACTTCTCCAGAGCTTCCCCCATCCTCTGGAACTCTCTACCCCAATTTATCAGACTATATCCTACTCTGCTCACTCACTTCTCTGAAAACCTATCTCTTCAGGGAAGCCTATCCTGCCCTCAGCTAATAATGGAATCTTATTTTCCTCCTACCAGTCCATCCCCCACAGTTATTACCTTTTGTACCACTAGCCCCTCCCTCTTAGATTGTAAGCTCCCAGGATCAGGGCCCTCCTATCCCTCTTGTATTGAACTGTATTGTTGCTGTATTGTCTCCCTTTATATTGTAAAGTGCTGAGCATTCTGTTGGCGCTATATAAATCTTGTATAATAATAATAATAATTTTCCTTGATCTCACCAATTATTATGATGGAGAGGGGAAGCCGATGCGTCAGACTTTACTTTCTGCTTGTCGCTGTTATGAATCAAATGTTACTTCGGCTGATTGACACTTCGCTGCGCAAAGTTTTTTTTACACTTGTCACTGTTCACATTTTGTTGCTATTTATCTAATGCAGGTCATAGACGGTTCAAAAATTGGCCGTTTTTCCGTCTAAAAGATTAATCAGCCGATTTTCGAACTATTAGTAGGTTCATTGGTCGGCCGGCTTTTGGGTTTTTTGCACTTTTGGATTATCGGTCATGTTGGAAAATTTGTGGAAAACAACCGATTTTCGCGGCAATGATGGCCAAATCATGCAATCGTTTTAACGGAACAAAATATGCGCATGAGCCGTGACCTGGAAGGAACAGAAGTTTTGGC